GCGGAGACATTGCTGGAAAGTCGGTCCGACTAGCAGTACTAGTAGTACTAGTATTACTAGTAGTATTAGTACTACTACTACTACTACTACTACTACTACTACTACTACTACTACTACTACTACTATAGTACTACTATCACCGATGTACTACTAATTCCACCTACCCTCTACCATGTACTACCTAGGACTACTAGCTACCCGCTGGTGGCTAGTGAGTGCTAGCTAGCTTCGGGCTGCTGGCTGCTGGCTGCTGGTGGCTGCTGCTGCTGCTACGAATACTAATAACAATAACTATTATTGTCAGACGAATACAGACACTCCTGCCGCTACTGCTACTACTGCTACAACTGCTGCTACTGCTGCTACAGCTGCTACCACTGCTACTACTGCTACCTACTACTGCTATAGAGCTGCTACGACGACGACGACGGCGGATGTGAAATGTGGTATCCGCGAGGAAACTGAAGCATTTGTCCCCACAGTCTGCTTTACGTGTGGAGAACAGCAACAAAAGCAGTGCCAACAAAAACACGCGTACGACTCACTGGTTTGGATGCCTACTGCCCGAGCTTGCATCACTCTGGAAGCTCTTGCCGCATAATCTGGCCAAGGTGCTGGGCACCCGGCATCTGCTGGACCTGCAATCTACAGCTGGTCAAAGGACTCTGCTTCTGCAGACATTGTCACCCAGTTCATGCAATTTTGCAAAGAGCTGTCCGAGCCTGACAGGTTCCCTGGTCGTGCAGAAAGACGCGAACATCCAGGTGGCCTGTACCTGCACTCTTAGAGACTTGGCAGTCTTGGCTGCAGTCTGTAAGTCCAGGTCCGGGTCACGCCAAGAGTTCGACTTGCTGCTTGAGCTGGATGCCTCTGAGAAAGACCACTCCACCTGCAACAGCTCAGAGTTGCTTCGTGTTTTTTGTTTTGGTTCCGTCGGCCTCCCAACAGTTTTCTGGGCCGTTGCAGAAATCACTCGGCTGGTCTCCGAGGTCGATGCAATGAAAACGCCTGTCATGAAGCCAAAACATGGTGTCAATTCAGCTGCACACATGTGTTATCAGTACCTGACACTTCGTCCTCTTTGGATGCAGTTTGGGCCAACAACACGGGTCACGATGTGCAGAGTTGCTGCAGGTTTCAGATGGACCGACATTGTAGCTATGGTGCTGAGAAAATGAATGAACCTATGCTGTCAGTCGCATTCGCTTTGATATCAGTCGACGGAACCGCAGGCCGTCGTCCTGTTTACTCAGAGAAGCAATGCAAATCTGCCTGCAGGCTCCATTCCCCCATAGATAAAGACGACTTCCGCATTAGCACAGCATAGCACATGCAAGAAGTGCCATACAACCATGAATGCAAGCAGCATAGACACCCTCAGCGCATCACCAAGCGCAAGATACGAAGAGGAAGTTTCAAGAACCACAGCTCGAGCAGCAGCGGCGTGGAGTCGCCACCGACGACTTTGCTCAGCAGAACGGACAAACTGCTGCTCGAGCAGGCAAAGAAGAAAAGGGCTCGACCGACCCCAACGCTGTATCAACCCCCGGGCCGAATTGCAAGCAGCGGATTCATCAGAGAAGTGCTTGGAGTTCGTTCTTCCGAGACGTGCACAAACAGCTTCATCTTGACGGGATGTCACACACACTCGATCTGATCTGAACAATTGGGTTTCAGGCTCGATCCCTCAAAGTTGCTCGGGAAGGCCATCTGAGGAATGACTGGTGGCAAACACGGCATCTGCGAAAACACCCGTCTTGAACATACCACCACTCCCTTTGGAATAGAGAACATTCCTACTGGTTATCACTATTGACACTAGATAGTCCTGTCATTATCAGTCTTGTCACTACTACTGCTACTACTACTACTACTACTACCACCACTACCATTACCACTACCACTACCACTACCACTACGACTACGACTACGACTACTACGACTACTACTACGACGACGACGACGACGACTTTTACGTGCTCCTGTTAATTATGAGAATGTCGAGAGTGTAAGCCGCGGACCACTTAGCCCGTGCGGCTCCCGGTTCGATGCTTGGCCTCCAAGCGGATCCAAAGCCAGACAAGATAGTAGAATATAGTATACTATACTACAATACAGTATAATATAATATCACACTATTTAAATGTAAATATAGAACCGTATAATATACTGGAATACAATATGGCGTAATATAATGATGTATTAATATAATAGCATGATATAATATGGTATAAAGTAGCATAATGGCATATAACATATAGTATAAATCTTAAAACAACATAATATAATATTGTATAACATAATGTCATATAGTGTAATAGAACATGATGACATGTTAACATAATAGTATATAGTATCTTAGTATACTGATATGAGAATATGGTATAATACAAGATATACCCATGCGGTACTATATATATTTGCTCAAAAAGCCAAATGCAATATAACATCATGCAACATAATTATAATACAATATCATATAATATGATATAATGTAATACAATATAACATAATACGATATAGTACAACGCAGTAAAGTATGATGCAACATAGTATAAGGTAGTGGAGAATCATGTAATGCTGTGCAGCTTCGTAGCATCTATCGCCTTACCGTTGCTTAGTAGGGAATGGAGGAATGGGGGTACAACTATAACTACTATTACTACCATTCTTCTTTTCCCTACTAACCAAAGGTAAGTGGGCAGTTGTCAAAATTATGGTCCTTTTTGGGGTACCCTAAATAATAGGTGCCGTATTATAATAAGTTCCCAAAAAGGGACCATAATTTTGACAACCACCCAAGTCGCATGCTCAGGCGCGCGGCTTCGGAACCGGCTGCAGCAAGGACCAAGGAAGCCGGTGGGCTTTCGCACCAGCACCAGGCACCTCAGCCGTTATAGGGTTTAGGGGTTTAGGGTTTAGGGTTTAGGGTTTAGGGGTTTAGGGGTCTAGGGTTTAGGGTTTAGGGTTTAGCTTCAGAACACCCGGACCTGCCGGTTACGTTAGTCTTATCATTCTTGTCGTTGTCGTGTGCACCTCAATGTCGATTCCTGCGGCGCTCAGGCTGCGGAGCTGCGCATGGGCCAGCTGCGGGTAGCCACCTTCCAGGCAAAGGATCTGCACTTACGGTCCCTGTACAGGCATAAGACATGGGTAGTTCTCTAAATTAGGGTACCTTATTTTGGGGTCCTTATAATAAGGATCCTACTATTTAGGGTACCATATTATGGTCCCCTATTTTCGGAAACCCCCACATCGTAGAATGCGCCCCAAACCGGCCCAAACGCTCTTCTACTCATTGAGGCCCTGAAGCTCCGGCGGAGCCACTCCCAAAGAAATGGCCTGGAGCGGGAGCAGAGCCTTTCGAGCAGCCCCTGGGCTTCTTGGAGGTCAGGGCTCAAGGGCTTCTGGGTGCAGTAGCAAAAAAAGCGAGAATATTGAATACGGATGGCGAGTGTCGTTACAAGAGACTCTGTATCAACAGATCACGACAATCTGGATACCCTAGAAAAGCGAGGTCAGAAAGGCACGAAGGAGCTCCAGTTCCCAGCTTAGCATGGGTCGAGGTCCAACAAAGAGGGTTCTGTGACTTCCCACAATCTGTTCTCAGAGGCAGGCCGGCATCGCCAAGTCTGTCCATCCATGGAACCTGCATCCTGTGAGACAAGCTTAGGGTCTACGGCGGAGACGGCAGCATGCAGCATGATCCCGGCCGCAGGGTAGATCTTGTCGCAACCGCCACACCGGCGGAGAGACTTCCTGGTGCAGGCACCACATCCCCAACCGTTGGAATCAGACAAGGGCAGGACTAAACGTGGCAGGATGTCAGCACAAGGCTTTGCTCGGAACAGGTGCTGCAAAACCTGCCGCCGATGGCCCAGACGGGAACTGAACGACTGCATGATCCGAAACGCACACAACGCTCATCCGCTTTTGCCCTCGCTTGCTGAATTTGCAGACCTGGGTTACCCAGCTGTGGAAAATGGACCGCAAGCTCCTTTGCAACCGATGAAGCTACAGCCAAGACTGCACCCCACCGACATGCACGAATTGGGTCATTGATTCCGGAATCATGGAAAGACGAGATTTGTACAGGCCTTTGGCATTCAAAAGGGTGATGGCTCGAAGCAGGGCCATCGACAAAGAAAACTCATGGCACAGCATCGATCCTGACGTTTTTGTTCGACTTGCTAGAGGCGGCTATAAATATGGTGCTTTCAGGATCTCACCCTGCGCCACCCTTGGAGCTCTCTGAGTTCAGCTCGCTGCTCTTCGCCAACTCCGCTTCAAAAGCTCCCCAGCACTCTTTTCACAGCCTGAAGGCGAGCATATTTTTGCCCTTAAAATCTGAAGCCGTGTCACGGCTGGTCCGTCGCTTGCGAAAGACTGCAACACCAGTTTGCAGGCCCATGCGAGCCGCAAATCTCGTCCTGCAACCCTGGTCTTTAGAGGTTGCCTTCTGTTTGAGACTTCCGTGATCCAGGCTACAATCTTGGACAGAACTCGGCGGGAAGCAAACTGGCGAGCCTGACGGCATCTTTCGACAAACGGAGATCGTCTAAACTGGAATTCCCCGCAACGGGCTGCGATGTCAGGATGTCTGCTGCATGAACCCGGCCGGCACTACTTGTCACGTGTCGGCTTCAAAGCTTAGAGGCAATAGAGTCTGTTCGCACACTCATTGCATAGACAGCAAACTGTTAGCCTACAGGGACAAAGATTCGCAACAAATGTGCATGAAAAGGTGCCTCTGTGCAGAGCGCCCTTGCTCATAGGCCACAGGCAGCCTCACTCCGGCCCCCTACGCCCCTCGCTGTTGCGGCGTGTTTCGCTCTAGATTCTGACACCTTTTCGGAGAAAGCTCGCAGTCCTTGCAAGAGAAAATCACATCAGCGAAGAACGAGGCTTGCCAGCGACACCACGACATATCGCAGTCCTACACTCTCCGCGCCTCCTCCGACAAGGTGTCTAGATCCAGAAGGCGGGCACCTGGCGGCACGAACCCACTCACTGGAGCTACGGTTGAGGCCCAGGCGTTTTCAGCCAAGGGGAAAGAAGCCTAGGACAACTCTGTGCCGAGGGGCAGCTGGAAGAGAGGCCGCGCGTCACCTGCTGCAAAGACCTGGTCTTGCCCAGGCCGCACGCCTCCTCAGCTTCCTCCACATCTCCAGCCTTGCTTTTTCACACGATGCAAAACCAAAAAATGCAGCAGCAGCAGCAGCAGCAGCAGAATCAGAATCACGATTATCAGGAGCGTTCCCTGGCTATCAGTTCGAGGTGCAGGATTCTCCCGTCGATGCAGCCGTCGCTCGGCTGCTCTTTTCACGGCCTCTGCGAAGTCGTCGTTGCCGAGCACGCTGCAGCTTTGAATAAGGGCAGCCACCGTCATCTTCTGCCCAGGAGCGGGCCAAATGGCGAAAAATGACCTCTCCGGCTCCGGTGTTGTGGCTGCAGTGCAAACAGCCTCGACAATGCTTTCGATGAGCCATGGCAGAAGTACTGCTGCACTTCGACTCCCATTACCCAGCGCTTGTAGATCCTCCGCAGATGCTACGGCTCGCAAGGCCGTGACCTGCCAATGATTCCTCATGATTCGATTCCTCAAGCTGAAAAAACCCATGCTACACCTGCTTGTGTTGCAGCTGAGTGAATTAACAGACCTACCTTTTCTGGACCATGTAAGGTCCAGCAATTCCTTGCGGACCACCTGTCTGATCTTATCTTCGCATTTGCTGGCACCTGTGCTGCAGTGGCCCAGCAGACAGCAGCTGCGGCAGACGGCAAGGATTCCAAGGAAGTGCCCGGAGGACCGCCGCGCAGGGATGGACTTTCCGAGTACTCCTTTGCAAGGCGAGGCTCTCCGAACCCTAAACCCTAAACCCTAAACCCGAAACCCTAAACCCTTTCGCCCTACACTTGTGCCCGTCTCCGCGCAGCCGAGGCTCTTCCGCTGCACGCAGCGGTTTCGCAGCGATCTCCGAAGCCGACTTGGCCCGTGGGCAAAGCTCCAGCTTGCTGGCCAACCGGACAGCGGCTCGACTGGTTGGTGTCGGCATCACAGCACTTTCTTGCTGTGGGGCTGTGACTGAGCTCGATGACAAGATTTCTTCACCAACCCGATCCAGGGAGCCCAAATGAGACAAAAGGTCCAGAACTGCCGTAAGCATATTCAAGCGGCTCTCCGTGCAGAACTGATCCTGCTTCGCACTCGACACCTCCCCTCCATACAAGCCACTGAGACCAAGAGAGTTGACCAGCTCCACCTCTAAACTCCTCGCCGCGAAGGTCACCAGTGCACTCTGCAGCTCGGGCTTTTTGACCAGCTCGTGCCCGTGGGTCTCGAAGTGTTGGCAAACAGACTCGAGGACTTCCGCAATCTCCCTGTTTAGGGTTTAGGGTTTAGGGTTTAGGGTTTAGGGTTTAGGGTTTAGGGTCCTCCAGGCGGCCATCGCATCCTGGCCGGCATTGTGCATTCGCGCGGTGGCATCGTGCCAGAGTGCCCAGATCTCCTCGAGCTCCGAAGTCCAGAAGTGCAGCCGCCGCTCCAGTGACTTCAGGAGACTTACCAGCCAGGCCTAAGGCCCCAAGGGCTTTAGGGTTTAGGGTTTAGGATTTAGGGTTTAGGGTTTAGGGGGCGATTCTGAGTTCTACTACTTGGTCCATCGTGCTGGCGCTACCTTGCCGTGCGTATTCGGTGAAAACCATGCTCCACAGGCCCCTATTCAGGCGCTCCTCGGTGATCTCGAAATCCTACCGCACAAAGCAGTTGGGTGTGCATCGTCTTCCCGCCACATTCCCACTCCGCCTCGCAAAATTGTGCCTCTGCCATTATGCCACGCACGCACTCGTGCTTCCGCCACCCATCGCCCGCAATATTTTCTGCATTTTGCACGCATGGGTTGGGTCTTCCGAGCTTCGGCGGTGCTGAGATGGTGCTTGGGCGGGGCGATGTTCGTAAGTTCTCTCAAGGGTCCCAAGGGTCAAGCAGCTTCAAACACCCACCCCCCCCTCTTTTAGTCTTTTAAAGCTTTCAGCTTCTGCCTCGTCGAGCGGTGCCTCTAGAAGCCCGCTCATCTCCGCACAGGCTTCAGAGCAAACCTCGTTGGCCAGGCGGCGGTAGCCTCACAAAAAAGCACTCGCCCGACTCACGCCCTGTTGCCGTATGGCGCTTCACATGGGAGTTTCCGAAATAAGGGGTACCCTATTCTGGGGTCCTTATAATAAGGATCCTACTTTGTAGGGTACTATATTAGGGTCCCCTATCTTCGGCAACCACCACATCTTTTCAGTCCCCGGCCCTGCAAAGCGCTCTGGCGCTCGGCATCGCCCGCAGCGAAACGGCAGAGCCTTCTTCCGCCGTCCCTGTCAGCTCCCGCGGCGGCCAGTGCGTAGTGGCTGGCCCTGTCACACACACAGCCGCAGTCAACAAGACACGAAAAGAGGGAAGGCCTTCCTCCCGGCCTCTCTTCCAGTGCTGCCACGGCGGCATCTTTCTGTGCCACTAGCTCCTGCGCGATCGTCTATGCAAAGGCTCCTCAAAAGCTTGACTCTAGAGCCGCATCCGTTGGCGATAAGCACCCACTGGAGGGTCCGCCAGGCACGACTTTGCAGAAATCTGCCATCTCTGTCTCGCATCTTCTGACGGGGGAACTTCTGCACTGGCGATTGCTGAAGGATCCTCCAGGGATTTCCGTAACGTTCGACGAACGCACACTTTTGCCTCAGCCCCTCCGCCTCTGTCACTTCGGCCTGCAACGCCCGCTGCTGAGTCTCGATCGCCTCTATCCGCCACTGGCTTGCGATAAGCTCACCTCGGAAGGCATCAGCACAAGTGACTCTGCAGGCAGGACAGGTGCATTTCGGCATGTGACATCCGACTTCGGGCAAGTCGCGGAAGAAGCAGTCCACGGCAGCAAGATGTTCTCGCCTCGCCTTCAAAGCGTCGCAATACCGATGCACCTCGCAGGAAATACTCGAAGATGCGAGTCATGTTCCTCTGAGGTCATCAAGTCTTAGAGCAGCAGTTCGATTGCCGAATGTCCCGCATGCCTTCGACGTGAGTACAGACGCGAAGTGGTGCTCTCTTGGAGGTGATGGCCGCCGCTGGGAACAGCAAAAGTGATCTCCAACCCCTCCACCAGCACTGCCTGCAAGGCATGAGACTACGTGAAAAGCCCCTAAACCCTAAACCCTAAACCCTAAAGCCCCATGCATCCCAGGCAACTCAGCCTTGCCTCTTCCAGCTGCAGATGGCACAAACAGACCGGCGACGAGCGAAGCCATGCCTTTGCACCTTCCTTGATCTAGGCTCTAGGCTTTGCGTAAGCTCAGCGGCTAAACGGAGCGAAGTAGCTGCTAACAGTACCTGAAGGGGAGGGCTTCCTCGATAAGGGAACTTGATGATTGCTGACCATTCGGCTGGGCGGTAGAGCTAATCTGAGCCAATCTGGCCGATCTTCAGTTCAGCAGAAGTTGCAACGACTGGCCTTTAAGACTGCTGCCGAGGCGAAGTGTCAGGGCAGCCCGGCCTGCCATTGCTGTCCTTGGCCTCATTGGCCGTCAGACGCCAGCATCCCGAGCAAAGCCTCGGTTTGCACAAGCCACGTCACGTCCACCTTTGCGGCGAAGAGCTGCCATGAGCTGCCCACCGCGGACGTTGCAAAGGTTTCAGCGGCCGTGAAAAGGCCGAAAGCGTCGCCAACTGTCGTTGCCACTCGGCCGGGATCCCCTTGCCAGGCCTTGGGCACTACAAGCATCTGCGCCTGCAAAGGCTCCCAAAACACCGCAGAACCTTTAGCATTGAAAGGCTGTCCAGCTCCCACGCAGACGACCACGACTCCTCAGAGCCGTGCTTCGGCAAGGGCACATGAGCATCCAACATTATGGCCAAGTCATGGCCGACTCTAAATCGGCTGCTGTGCACACACACACACACGCACACCTGCTTGGTCTGAGCTCACATAGTTCCTAGATGGCGGAATTTGCGACCTGAGCTCGCTGAAACGAGTCTAGCAACTCCAGACCAACTGACTTCCGCGAAGAAGCAAACGCTTAGTGGCTACCGGTGGAAAACTGAGCTCTAACGAGCTTAGATGTTTGAGCCAACATAACGCCCAAACAGCACATTGCTAAAGACGCAAGAAAGGCCTACGATCCAGGATTCACTGGACACAGATATCGAGCAGTCCACCGAGAAGCGCATACAGAAAAAGCATGGGCCACCAGCACAGAACGGCAAACATCAACATTGCTGCAGTATCGCCTGGTCTGCTGCAACCTGGCGGTGGACAACATGCTCATCCAGTCGCCGCTAGCGCTATGTGCGCAACACTATTGGAAGGAGTCGGACGGAGGCGATCGAACTCTGTCGTGGAGTTCATTACTAATGCATGTATGTACTATGTATGTATGCATGAAACAGAGCGAACCGAACCCGCGAACCGGAACCGCGAACCGAAATTACAAACCCAACCGAGAACCGAACCGAAGGCTACACCGAAGCGTTTTCCGCTTCACATACATTGTGGGCTGAGGATCACCTAAAGACCTCACCAATCCCCGAAATATGCTTAAGCAGGAAATCTTATTGTGAAGATTCACCGCTGGGGCGCTCGGGCCACCGAACGTGGGCGAGTATAGATCGCCCGGGGATACATTAGCAAGTACATGTGGAGATGTGGAGGTACCTATGCAAAACAATGCCCCAGGTTACCTGGAGTATCTACTGTTATGTAGCATAGTTATGCGTTTGCATTTATATGGTATCCGATCCTGTACTCATCACCACTCGTTGGTAGGGCTTGTATCTGTAGTTAAATTCCTGCGAGTCACCTACACTACATAGAAGTGACTTGACGGCTTGACGGTCCCGACCTCGAAAGAGCCGGAAGAAAGCTCTGATCGTGCACCTTGCGCCAGCTGACACTCAGCTTCACCTTTGAACCCAACCCCAAGACACATGGGGGTTTCCGAAAATAGGGGACCCTAATATAGTCCCTTAAATAGTAGGATCCTTATTATAAGGACCCCAAAATAAGGTACCCCTTATTTTCGGAAACTCCCACATCTCTGAAGTTTAGGAAGTTGTCGGCAGATATGCAGCAAGACTTCCTGCCTCCCTCCATCTCCGCCAGTCTTCGCACGAGCACCGCATGCTCCTGCTTGAGGAGGCGCATGTTCTGTTTTCGGGCTAGAGGCAATGTCTCGGAAGTGTTGCCCCAATATCTGTCCCACAAAAACACGGCATCCGACGATGCATGTGCCGAAACATGGAAAACCCTGTATCTTGCACATGTTCAAGAACTGCGGTGCTCATGCGAATAGAGGGGAGCACACGTGATTAAGCAAGCTTTGCAAAAGTTACTCCCTTTCATGCGCCTGCCCTTGATGAACAAAAACGGAGCTGCCGGTAGCCAACCGGATGAGGCCTGCTCCAGCGCCAACATCTTGTCCTCTGCCAGATGCCTCTGCTGCTCCAGAACCTGTGCAAGTTTCCAAAGTGCAAGACCGGCAGGTACAGTTGCCCCACAAAGTGCTTCAGCCCACCGACCTCCAGTATTTTCGTGGTTCGCTCAAGCTCACGTCTGAGCTTGTCGTTCTCACCACTAAGCTCTGCTGACCTGAGGCGGTTCATTGAAATACGCCTCCAGAGGCAAAGCTTGATGCTGGGATCCTGACCGAAGATCCTGCTCCGACCTCCTCGCCACCATCTGAGCGAGGGACCTGTTGACATTGCCAATGTCTCATGAGCCACTACGGTGTGCACATGTCCCAAAGCACCTGAGTTTCTGAAAGAGAGATCTGCACAAGGGCGAGATGATCACTTCATGTGAGGCGGTGGCAGAGGCGACAGCGGCAGGGCCGCCGGCGAACCGGCCAGTGCCAGCAGGTCAGCTGAAGGTGGCGGAGCCACCGGCGAAGCCGCAAGTGCCAGCAGATCAGCAGACGGGTCCACACTGAGCGACACTGCGAGGTCAGAGAGATTAGAATGAGATCTCCCACAGCAGCGACAACAGCACGACAGCCTGCCAATATGGAAGGTGATGGCACCAGCATCACCTGAAATGTCTCGGTAGCCGAAATAGGCGCAAAAAAAGGAACAGACAGTAGTAAGGGAGTCGCCGTTGGTCTTGGTGGTGTGGTTGTCCGCGTCGCCCATCAACCCGGTAAGGCCCGCTTTGGGAGAAAGCCCGGTTTGGCCTGGACACGGCAACGGTACGAGCCAGCCTCCTTTGCCCACTCACCATCAAACATGACGACCCTCTAGGACGATGACCACAGATGGAGTTTACCACGTCATACACACCCTCGTCGAGGAAGCATTGTCTCTCATCCTCCAGCTCCATCAACCTCCAAACGAGGCAAATGCTTCATGAACATCAATCCAGCAGGTGCAAGAGATTAGTCGTGAAAATCTCTGCAATTCTTTGCACTTGAGGTGCCTCTTCTGCGTGTCTCCGAATGCCTCCCGCAAAGCCTGGTTCTCGAGGACGAGCTGCCAAGATGAGTCAGAGAAGTCTCCGCTGTCAGGGTCTCAAGAGCTTGAAGCAACCCTAAGACCTGAAAGTCTCAAACCCTTGCCGCCTGTCGCATTCTCTCATCCGTAGTTGAGCTGCCGCCACCACCTCCTCCCGCCGCTCCGGCAGAGTACAAACCTGATCAGCTCAAGCCTCAAGCGATGAAGCCTTGGGCCTGACACAGACGAGTCCGACACTTGGGCTGCATGCTGTGCTCGCAGCCTCCGCCGCCTGTCCTTCAAGCAGATCCCACTGGATGCTGGATGCATGTTAGCCCTCGACAGCTCTTTGAAGGCAAGGGCAAGTCTGAGCGTGCCCGGCTCCTGTCGGGTCGTCCAGCATGACTGGGGGGAAGAGCTCTTCACTGGCGATGCTGTGCACCAGCACAGAGCTTCCAGGGAGCTGCGGACTTTTTGCCCTGTCCTTGGAGTCACAAGTCGTACCATCTTGCCGAGAGCCGCAAGACCCTGCGCGCCTCTTGACAGATGACCTCCTTGAGGTCAACCAGGCGCCGGAGAGCCTGCACAGCCTTGAACGATCGACGTCTGGAAATATCATTGCATGCGAGTACGTGACAGCTGTTGCCGGGCGTGCTCATGTTCGGCGAAGAATCTCTCTCCAAAAAAATCCACTGACACGCCAGCCCCAAATGTGACACAACACATGACCGAAACGCAGGGTCGTCGGTCCTGTTTGTTCTTGTCGGCAGCTGCCGGTGCACCCTGCACAAGGCTAACGCTTGTCTAAGCCAGGCAAGGATTCAACCAGTCTACTTGGAGGATCATTGGACTTAGTAAGTAGGGTTTTGATTAAGGTAACTATACTTATAACTACTTATAACCCCAATCAAGGTACTTATAACCCTACTTACTAAGTCCCATGATCCTCCAAGTACAGACTGCTTGCATGCATCGGCAGCCTGCTGACGAGCAGGCGCTGGTGCCTGCTGAGCAGCGGCACAAACCCCTTTAGACTGATGAGGTTGAAGGCAGTTCTGGAAACATAACGTGGACAAGCAGCGGCAAAAGCATCAGATACTATGAGTCACAAGCAGTGCACCGAAAGGACTGCTGCACAGGCTCAACACAAAGCTCGTAAATCGGCAATTCATGGACATGCTTAGTACCTCAATGCCTCAGCTCGACCCGACGACGCCAGGCGCGCGCTTCGTGTTTGGACAGGTATCCTGCAGCAAATTTGAAGGGTGTTGTCCACCATGCATCGTGACGTTAACGTAGCATCTTGTCCCACGTTGAAAAACCTGTCTTCCCTCTGCAGGGCCTCGGTTTTGTCTGCGGTGACAGCTCGCGTCTTCGAGGTGACTGATTGCGAGCAGGAAAAGCCTTCGGGGCAGTGCTCGAAGAGACGGGGCAAGGGCAACACGACCCAAGGGCTGCATCGGCTTAACTACCCAAAGCGGAAACAAAGCAGCAAACATTGAAACATTGGCAGGAGAGCGGACTTCCGCCGAATCTGCTCTTCCCACACGTCTGGCCTGCCGCAAAGCCGCCTGCCATTCGTTCACAGATATCAAATGTGAGGGTTTAGGGTTTAGGGTTTAGGGTTTAGTGAAAAATCTGCTGCGCCTCCCTTGCTTGAGACGCGGCTGTAGCGCTGTGAAGTCCCGAAGACCTCACAGCTCGGCGGCTTGCCGGTGGATCAGCCTCCAGGCAGCAAAGCTCACGCAAAGCTCAGAACTGGCATATTTGGTTTGTGAATGTGTATAGACTTATATGCACTTACTCATGTAACTGTAAATTTAAATCTAAATTCAAACCTAGACATATAAATCTATGCTCCCCAAACAATCTACCGCAGTGATGGTTCTTCGGGGTGTGGGGTGCACGAAAAAGTGGAATGCTCAAACAATTCCAACACTTCCAACCTCAAATTTCGAAACACTGTCATGCTCAAAACATGGATGGAATTCGACAATCTGGCATCCATCCCCAGGCCGAGACCGGATTCACCACAAATGTTAGAATTGTTGAATTTGTTGGGCATTACTGTGCTTCGTGAGGTTTGAGGTTGGATATCTTGGAATTTTTGGCATTACAGTGTTGGGTGGCTTTCAGGACGCGAAACCTTGTCATGCTCAAAACACTCCTAATATTCCGATATTTTGGACATATGCCAGAATTTTGGAATGTCTGGAAAATCTCAAGCAAAACAATGTTTCGTCAGTTTCAGAGTTGACATGTTTGAATTTTTGGGCCTTACAGTGTGTCGAAATCTCCAGGACAGGAAACACTGTATCACAAGATAAGAAAAATCTCTCGTTTTCGCTACTCCTGCTGGATAAGTATGAAGACGGCCACGGGCCGCAGACAAGCTGGAGTCCTCCTGTTTCAACGTTTCGAGAAGACGGTGCTGGAGCAGTTCGAGATGACGGTCCGCCGGGCAGAAACGCCCGTCCTCGCGATCGTTCGCTGATGCGCTATTTCCGCAACGCCGATAGGGAAAGTGAAAAGTATGCATGTATGTCAAGTATGTATGTGCATGTATATGTGGATGTGCATGCATGTGTCTGTGTCTATGTGTATATGTATGCGGATCTGCATGTGTAGGGATAGTCGTATGTGTCTGCGCCTGGGTGTGTGTACGTAGATAATGTGTGTGTGTGTCTATATATATATATATACATATCTTACACAATGGGGTCTCTTTTCCAGACCAAGCAGTGATAGTGCGTGTAGCTCCCACAAAAAGGCTGAGACAGGGACCACTGTTTTCGCAGCGGTTGGGCCCATCGGGGCAGGAGGGCTGGAAGCTCTCCTTCACGGGATCTGGCAGGCTTCACTTTGTGTGCAGCGATGAGCTCTTGCTTCCTTGAGAAACGTGTCTTAGGGCTTCGGTCAGGATGCATCCACTACAGGTGAGCAATTGCGGCAAACCCACCCCGATGGCAAATGCAAGAAAAGCTTGAAGGGCGAAAGTTTCACTCAATCTGATGATAAAGTTGTTCGTCCTGCCAGCTGTAAGAACCATCGTGCGTTGATTCGGACAGTACGAGGATACCAGGCCGTTGTCACAGCATCAACGTCGGCTCCTCGGTAGCTGCGTGCCTTGGCCACCGTCCAAAATGTCACGATGACTTTTGATGCGACGGACGATACAAAATCGCAAGATGCAAGAAAAGCAGGCCTTGTCCGCCAAGCTTGCAACTGAAAAGCGAAGGCACACGACGAGAGAAGCTCAGCCGCAGGGCGTGGTGATCGGAAGCGGCTTTCTGGCTTTGCCTTGAAAGCTCGAGTGCATTGAGAGGGCCACTGAGCTGTTCAGAGGGTTAGCACGGCGTGATGCAGAACCACTGAGGGTGGCACTGCTTCAGAAGCCATCTGCGAGGATGCAGGCACACTGTAAGAACATGCTCTCATGCCCCCATACTTTCGGACACGCACCTCTAGCCACACAGACCAAGAGCATTTAGTGTAGTAGAGCATGCCCGAGAACGCTACACTGCAAACTTGAAGCATCGATCTCATCGACTCGCGAAGCCGTGACCTTGGCGGCGGCTCGCGCTTTGGCGAAACCCGGCTTCGGTAGGACCTGGCATGCTGAGCCCAGCCGATGTGCTAAAGAGAATGACTCTATCTCCCAGCTGAAGCAGGACATGAGATCCACGGCTAAACCCTTCATTTCCAGGCGTTGCTGATGCATTTCTGCGTGCACCTCCACTGGAACAGCTTGGCCTCTACACGTCTTGTGCGGAAAGAGGGCAGCTGGTGAGAGCAAGTATCGACATGCAACCTTTACAGCCATATACAGTGCAAGGGCTGTCTGTGCCGAGCATCTCGCCCTAACGCGGTTCGTCCTTGGTCACCTCCCCGGCACGTCTCCACATGTCTGTAGCCCGAATGAACTCTTCCTGTGCTTGTCTCACTTCGGCGATCTTTGACTTCATGTCCTCTTCTGCAACAGGCCGTGCATCCTGTGCTGGTTCAAGCTTCATCCCATGTCTGATGTGGTCCACTTCTCCAGCTCTCTTCCAAGACTCAAGGGCCTTGCCCCAAGCAGCTTTCGAGATTGTCTTGTCATCTCCAGGCAGCTCGTCCGATCGACTTGGCTGCTGCTCAGGCTTTGCAGCCTGTCGCGTCAGATAGTCTTTGGTCTGCATCATCGCACATTCCTCGCCTTGCGCCCTGCCTTGCTCGAAGAAGGCCACCACCAGCACCAGAGGTCCGATCCAGAGACGCATGGCGACCACAGCAGGGGCGGAACGTGGCTCAGTTTGGCAAGCTTCTCCGGGCCGCGAAAAACCGAAGAAGAAACGGCCACTCAAATCGGGCAGGAGATTCGTGGTGCGTCTTGAAATTGACTGAACATGGACAGTAAGCAACATCAGCTCTCCATCATGTGCACTTCGCACATGTATGCATAGCTGACATGATGTTGCAAGCAGATAACCCCTTCTGTCAGACCAGCTTCGGTCGTGTCTCTTCTTGGACTTGCTGCCACAACCTACTACACCCAAGACGTTCTAACAAGGAACCCCCAATTATAGTTATAGTACAACCTACTATAATTATAGTATCATATACTATGATTATAGTATCATATACTATAATTATAGTATAACCTACTTTATCATAGTATAATATACTAAAGTTATAATACGGAGCCCCTCAAAACCATGGCCACATTTTCCAAGGGGGCAGCCTTGGCCTTCGGCTTCGCGGCCGCCGCTTCCTCGTTGCGGCTCTTGCTGTAACTTCACGGGCTAAGTATCTATTACAGTACCTATATTGGTATTATGGATACTATGATAGTATCTATAACAGTACCTAAAAGAGAGTATTATGAATACTATGATAGTATCTATAATGGTACCTAAAAGAATATTCTGGATACTATGATAGTATCTGTAATGGTACATAAAAGAGTATTATGGATACTATGATAGTATCTATAATAGTACCCAAAAGAGTATTATGGATACTATGATAGTATTTGTAGTAGTACCTAAAAGAGTATTATGGATACTATGATAGTATCTATAATGGTACCTAAAAGAGTATTATGGATACTATGATAGTATCTGTAGTAGTACCTAAAAGAGTATTATGGATACTATGATAGTAGCTATAATGGTACCTAAACGAGTATTATGGATACTATGATAGTATCTGTAGTAGTACCTAAAAGAGTATTATGGATACTATGATAGTATCTATAATGGTACCTAAAAGAGTATTATGGATACTATGATAGTATCTATAATAGTACCTAAAAGAGTATTATGGATACTATGATAGTATCTGTATTAGTACCTATAGTACTATAGATACTATTATAAGAGCATCTGTAAGAATATCTATACCAGTATCTATTATGACGGCATGGTCAGAGAAGCAGCAAAGAGAACGATGGCTGCTACCAGCGTGGCATCGGACACAAGAGATGTTTGGGGTCAGAAACTCGGGACCTCACCAGATCGCAGATGACACCATTGCTCCTGCCAAAATAGCACGGAATCACGATTAACTCTGTCAACGCCTCCCTCGACTGCAATGATTTCCGGACGTGCCTGGGCCGAAGAGCGTCAGCAGACCCCATGCTTGGACGCCGACCTCGAACTGCAGACACGTGAGATAAAGCGTCACACTGGCAAGGCCTATGTCGACCCAACAGCGGTCTGGGCATTTGCTTCCTCTGGGTTCGTGACAACGAAAGCATGGGACATGCTAAGTGTACGACATCTGCGGCGCGATGCCACTGACGTCTGGATGGTCTGCTGTTTCAAAAAACGATCCTATCCTACATTACTCCCTTTGAACACGGCTCGCAGTCTTCCTGAAATTCATATTCCGATATCAACTACTCAAACTTCTGGTCGCCAAGAGACATTCAATGCTGAAACATTTCCATGGAGTCAGTGTCCTTACCTGCAGTTATGCAGATTCGAATGCTGTCAAGCACAAAAGCACACAATATCGGCCAAGATTCAAAGAGTGGCATGGAGAGCAAAACTTGACACATGTGCCGAATAAGACTGAAACACAGGTTAAAAACTCAAGCTCGTTCGCCAATGACGAAAAACCAGGCAGCGCCTCTTTTCGCCGCCGCGAAAGGGTGAGCGATTTTGGAAAAAAAAAACGTGGGGTTTCTGCGCAAGCTTGTTTCGGGAAAACCTTGAAGCTACCCTTGATGAACCATGCCTGTCATGAGGCATAGATCCAGGAAACGCAAACCCAAACATTCAGTAAACCATGAAGCCCAAAATCCGGGGAAGCTGCTGCAGTGATGTAGACAGAAAGCAACCGCCATTCAGGTGCTGCCTCTCCAAAGTCTATACTTGGAGGATCATGGGACTTAGTAAGTAGGGTTATATTTACCTTAATTGGGGTTATAAGTAATTATAAATATAGCTACCTTGATTATATCCCTTGTTACTAAGTCCCATGATCCTCCAAGTAGGGTGTCAGGCCCCCAGACATGTCTGGGGAAGCCTACAGAATGAAGAAACTCACCCGAGACACAACATGCCAAGGTGCTCAAGAGCCCCCACCCCCTCCCGCCACAGCAAAAAGGTCAGTCCGTGTCGAGAATCATTCCAGAAATCTTACCACGTAAAGACGGTTAAAGCCAGAACGAGAAGAAGATTGCACTTCGAAAGAGCGGAAGTGCTGTAAATACCAAGGAATTTGTTCTTAAAACCCCCCACCCCACCCCGCCCTCCCCTATTGAACCGCCAATGACCTCTGCCGGACGAAAAGTGCCATACCTTCCGCGGCGGCGAAAAGCGGCGCTGCCAAAAACAAGCTCTGGCAACCGGCCAGTCTCCTTTTTTGTTTGAGCTTGGCTGTACAGGTCCAGTCGAAACGGCTGCTTTTGCATCAAACGTGAACTGCAACGAAGCGCTGTCATTACGACTCAAGTTGACTCTTGATAGGCAATCTTCACAAAGTCCGGTTTCCACAGCTGGCAATGAAAACAAAAAAAGCTGCTGCAGACAGCAAAACTTCAAAATCCTGAAATTGGTAAAGCTTGCGAATTTGACTTGGCACGACGATGCTCCTCGCCTACATGCCACTCGATGCAGGACAGCCATACAAGAGGTTTTCTTGCAGGAATGCCGCCTTTTGAGCAACAACGAACGGTCCGCTGAGAAACATTAGACCTAAGTGGGGTGACACTGCGGATACACTCAGCATTGCCCCAAGACCCCGAAATCCCACGGCGATTTAGTGATACGTCCCCACACAACAACCCCTCCGGTGTGTTCTCCAAGCAGGAATGACAATGGAGGCTGTCGTTTGTCTCCCGGACTATCGATAAAAGGGCTCTTTCAAAAGCTATTGTTGAAATCTCCGAGGCTATATATATATGTGTGTGTGTGTGTGTTGTGTCTGTCTGGCTGTCTGTCTGTCTGTCCGTCTGTCTGTCTGTCTGTCTGTCTGTCTGTCTGGATTGTCTGTACATGACTGGCTCATCCCACAAGGCAGCGTCACGGGGAATACCATCGTGCAAGCCTTTCACCCCACCAGCCCTCTGGGTCCGTTCCGACTTGGATAAATTGGAATGCCGAATCGCGCTTGACACCTGAAATCCTGCAGCCTGCCTCCAGACCGCAAATATCATGCAACAATCAAAGATCGGATCTCCGGGCTGATTTTTTGCCTGCAGCGCGGCGTGCGCAAGCGCAGCGATATCTGTCGTGAAGACACGCACCCTTCTCCGAGCATCGACGCACCAACTCGGCGCACTCGGCATCTCTGATGTCGAGGTTTCAAGAACTCCAGAAAGGACTGGACACGTTGACCAGTTCGGGGTGGCTGTGGGCGTGTCACCCGAAAAGCCAGCGTTTGCAGCGTGACATACTGACATAGCCATGCGAAAGGACAAGCTGTCCGGCGCATGTTTGCTGGGCTGAGCCCAAGAAGCTGGAGCACTGCTCGCCCAGGGTGTATGTAAAGAGCTCGGTGCCTAAGACGAAGGCTGCATCAGTGATCAAGTGCTGTGAGCCTTCACCGATGGTTGCTTTGGATCTCAGAGCAAGCAAAGGCAAGTGGCGATGGCATCGCGAGAGGCAGTATCGCGAGAGGCAGTAGACAGAGCATCCCTCTGTCTCACAGCATCAACGACGCAGGCAACGCTACCCAGCCAGTCTCACACGCATCCCGTTGGATCGCCGCGGATGCAGGGCTGCAGCGAGGTCGACAGGCTGCTGGGGCATGAACAGCTTTAAAAGTAGACATAGACAGCCCTGCTGTCCGTGGCCACAAGACCAGAAGCCTGAGTAACACTCTGCATTCACGCAGCATGGACACTGCCACGACTGGACGAACACATGTGCAGCTATCTCGGAAGACAACAGGTTTTGCTGGTAAAAGGAAATCGAGCTACCGGCGTGCCGACCACCAGCCGCGTCAGAGGGCAAATCAATGTCAAAGGCTGCGAAAGAAACTGCAACTTCACAGAATGGGGGGCGGTGGACAGAGTAGGCATCATTGACCCTCCATCGGAGCCTTGTGACAGTGTCTTCCCGAAGAGCCATATGTAGCAGGACCCCAAGCACATGGCTGACAAGCAGGTGCATCGACATGCAGGGGCAGTTGTGAAGATCTTCAAGATTGCGCTGGGGCGATAGGGGACTGTACTACAGAGACCAACATGGAATACAGTGTCCACGGCAGAGAGTCATTCTGTCTCCCGTGTTGCCGTGGCCTGTGGCAAAGCAGGAGCTTCCATTGCACTTGGAGTCTGCTACAGGCCTACCATCCCCTACTGCCCAGAATTCGAAGAATGCCTTCGAAACTTGACCACACCCTTGCAAACCTTCTTGCCGCCTCTCTCTTCAGGGCGACGAAAACCCCCTGGAACTCAAGCAAAATCCGCTTGACCGCTTTAAACCCTAAACCTCCCCATGAAACCTATAAGAAGACTTCGGCAGCCCAGGGCCAGAGACTTCGAAGCCCTGAAAAGTCCCAGATCAGCTCACACACCCAGAAAAACCTGGCCTACCGGATCTTACCCCCCTGGGCCTCAGAGAGAAGTGGCCAGTTGCTCATAGTCTCTCGGTTTTTGAAGCTACACAGTTTAGGGTTTAGGGTTTAGGGTTTAGGGTTTAGGGTTTAGGGTTTAGGGTTCGACGGTGTCGCGGCTGGCCCTCCCGGCGTCCAGTGCAGACTGTTGCTGCCATCCCTTCCGTGCAAACTCTTGCGCCGGAACAATGAAAAGTCGGGCATCCGCTCTACA